CACTATACAATATTTGTTTTATCCTTGCAGGGTATGATATTAACCATGTGTAAATTTTAAATTTGTACTAACTTGAATAATCTTCCTAAAATTTACTAGTTTCAAATTTCATATAAATAATGAAATAATAAAACATGGGTCTCTTTTATTGTGTATGTAAAAATTGATTTGTTAAACTGTAAATTTGACAGTGAAAAGGTTCAAGTTGTAAAGTGGAGGCTTGACTTATCCAGCGTTTTCTATAACATTCGGTTTTGCAATTATTAAAAGTGTCGCCACCTTGTGATATAAGTATTGGATTGGTTTAAAATCTCCCGACATGAGTAATGACAGTATCCAAGATCAAAACTGAATATCAGAATTCAGGGTAACACATTGAAACGTTAATTAATCATGTAAATAAGCTCCAGCAAAATATTATTAAATGACTTATAAGTCAAGAAAACGTATAAAAATGGACTATTTAATACATTGGCATGTTTGGCATAATAATTTTAAAGAACTGGGAGAGGAACTCGATAAGAATGAGGTAGGTTGGGCCAAGTGTGGTTTATTTAGTAATATTATTAAGTAAGTATTTAAGATATTTCAAACTGGTATTGTAACAGAATGTCGCAAGTTAAGGTTGTAGTTAAGCGTAAACTTTAATTAGTCATACACCATAAAAGTTAGCTTAATTTAATTTAATTAAGAACAACACGCGATCTGTTGGTCCATCTTGGCTATCTCATCCACTAAACTAAACTTAAAAAAATAAGCACACTCAAAGTCGGAACCTTTCTTACTCCTTTTTGTTTTCCCAAGGGAAATTTCAGAGATTTTAACCTGTTTTCATTATCATGTGACAAACTTGCCATCCCAGATATCATCCTACTATTACTAATAGTGTTACTAGTTAATATTAGTATTAGCCTTCCTATATTTTTTAAACCCTTTTCAAGAATTCAGTGGCCTTCCTGAAGAAAGGAGCCCAAGACTTGAACACAATATTCCAAATGAGGCCTAACCAGTGAGCTATACAATGAAATTATAACCTCTTTTAGTCTTTAGACTTGTAAGATGCATTCAATATTTTTATAGGCACATCCTGAAATCCTATTTGCCCTAATACTAGTAATACAACCAATACTCAATAGCACACTGCTTGGATGACTTAAAAGACTTATCAGCTGGAATACCAAGATCTTTTTCTCCTTTAAATCTGTTAATATTAAGGTTATTCTCCATCAGAATTATACCTTTAAATAAAATTATGATATCCCACATGCATTACCTTGCATTTATCATAATTAAAAGCCACCAAACCAATGTTTATCACCTCACTTGAATTGAAAAGAAGAGTAACATACATCAGCTAACTTCCAACATTCTGGCCCACTACTCAACTTGAATTTCAAGGACTTATCAAAATAGTAGCAAGTGGCTCACATATTAAAACTTTAACCTCCTTTAAAACCATTTTGCACAAGCACTTAGTACGAGTAGATAATAGTAACACTAAACTTTAACTCCCCCCCCCCCCAAAAAAAAAGTTTGTATTTCAAATCATTCCATGCTACTACTAAAACAGAAAATGTCCACACCTCAAGTGGTTATTAACACACAAACCAAGCACTCTTTAATTAATTCTTCCAGACTCTAAAGTTCATACTTTAAGCCTATTATTGTTACTTAAATTTCTTAAAACAAGTGTAATTTAGTAGTCTGCCTTCACTCTTTCCATCATGTTTATCTCCTTCTAGTGAGGGTACCAAACCTGCAAACAGTAACATAAATGAAACTCCTGGGTCATTTACTCAGGTGCAAAGAGGACCACATGCACATTCCAAATTCCTTGGGAAAAAAGATATTTTTTGTGGATCAAACTTGGGTATAAAATGCTATAGAAATCTATAAAAAGTGAGTGATTAATCAACTTTATTTTAAAGAGTTTCATGATTAACTAAAATCATGAATAGCCCTAGACACATCTGACATATTCATGATGCATACACAATATTATTTCAAGCTAAGAAGTGTCCCACAACAAATTTTTAAATGTGTCCTTTATAGTGCAGATGTTGTGAAGGGCAGCCTTACTGAAGCTAGTGTAATTTGTGCTTTGAGTAGATGTATCATTAAAAATAAGTACTAAATGAATGTATTTAATATTATTCTTATTATTTCAGTAAATAAAGAGTTTAAATCAGTGTAATTAACCTTTAAGTAAATGAATATACTGCTATCCTAAAGTGTAAACATATAGATATGGGGAATTAAAATATTTAAATCCCTACATAGGGGGAATATATTTAACCCAAAAAATAAGTAATTCCCTTCATAGGTCGTAATTTTTAAAAGTGTGGAACAAACAATGTAACCCCCTCTCCCTAAGTATAATGAGTGAATGGCCCCAGGATAAAACTTCACCATAGCCATATACAACTTAAGGTTACAATAACCTTCTTACCCTTGAATTAAAGAATCTCTGTAAAATAAAGAGAAAAAACTTCTTTGTTTTTCTTACCAATGAATACTGAAGATTATAAGATTAACATAAGGAGTGTACAAACTACCAACTTGTTCTTATATATTATACAGTTTGTATAATTTGGATGGGAATGATCATCACAGTGTTATGAAAGAGAGGGATCTTGATGTAATAGTTGATCAGTCTCTACAGGCAGCCATCCAAGCAGTGTGCTGTTGCTAGTGGTAGAGCAAGTAAAATTTTAGGTTGTATCTACAGAAATACCTGGGATGGAGGGGTTGTCATACGAGGAGAGGTTGAAATCTCCCAAATTGTTTTCTCTTGAAAAAAGAAGAGTTTGGGGATCCTGATTGAGGTATTTAAGATTGTAAAGGAAATTGATAGTGTTGATGTATCATCTTTTTTCATATTTAACAGTGAGAATAGTAGGACTAGGGAAAACAAATATAAATTTTGGCAGGGTAAGAGTCATCTGCAGTTAAGACAGTTTTATTTTTCTAACAGGGTGGTTAACCTTTGGAATGGGTTGCCTTCGGATGTTGCGAAGGCAGTAAATGTAAGTGAGTTTAAGAAGAAGCTTGATAAGTATATGAATGATAAGGGCTGGCTTTATAATTAAAAAAAAAATTCGTTTTAGAGGATGGAACAGCCGAGATGGACCAATTGGTCCCATGTTGTCCCAAAATGTTGTTAAGTAGTGGGGTCCACATATTACATCATATTGATCAATTTTATATTTTTGCCTCATTTTGCAGAATCCCCCCCCAATTAAAAAAGTAGTGAAACCAGTAATTTTCAATGTAAAATACACTGAGAACCCCAATAGTAATTAGTGAGATTAATTGTAATATTGATTTTCTGTGTGTTTGATTCATGTTATTAGGGGCCTTGTAACCAATGAAGTCATAGAGTCACAAGTAATGAAGTATATGTATTTTAGGAAAATACGTTTCACATGCTTGTAGACCCTATTGGCAATTCTAGGGTTAAATAGGAAAGGGAAAAAGATGCTTATTACTATTAGTATTCTTTACGGCTTTATAATAAAGATGCTTCCTTAATACAGAAGGACATGAACAACCTTCCTTGCTGAGTGTCCTAATCTGTGGGAAATGAGGAAAGTGATACATTTAAGGAATGTGAAGTTGGAAAGTCTTTATAGTTTGTGTGTGGGAGAAATATTAGTTTTGTGGAAACTGAAAAGGATTTTGTGTGATAATTGATAAAGGCCTTAAGCTTTTGGCTTAATGCTTGGGAAAGATGAAGAGAGTAAACAGGGTTCTGAGGTCTAGTTTTGGAAATTTTGAAGTGAGAAGTGGAGTTGCTATCATCATCAAATACAAAAAGTTGATGAGACCTTGTTTGGAGTATTGCATCAGTTTTGGTTTCCTTATCATAGAAGAGATACTGACTTGTTTGTTAGGTTTCAGAAACAGGCTACCAAATTGTTTTTTCATGTCTGGAGTCATTTAAGTTATGAAGGTGGCTCAAATATTTGAAATCTTGTTTTGGAGTATAGAAAATCTAGAGGTGATCTTATTCAGATATTTAAAATCGTTAGGTTGTGGTAAACTTCCCACAGGAAATTGTTTTGAATAAAGGATAAGGTTGGAAATGAATTCCAAAAATTAGCATAAGATATGGAAGTCCATGTTGATTGTTAGGCAATATTTTTTTTTCTTTGTTAGAGTTGTTAACCTGTGGAATGGGTTTTAAGATGATGTACCACATGTTTGTGATTTGAATGCCGAGTTTTTGTTGGGTAATTATATGAACATGAAAGACTGTAATTATTTTAGGCTGACTTTTTTTTATTGGGTGATTTTGATGGTCAAATGGTTTTTCTGTGACCAAGACTTTTTTTACATTCTTATATCTTTTTGTTTTTGTGTGTAGAACATATATGTCCTCTTACAACAACAATAAAAAAGTAACTTCCAAATTATCACACCCCAAATGCATTACTTTACACTTAACTTATTTTTCATAATCTGACTCGGTCATTAAAACTACATGATCCTTTTAAATGACAGAAGCATTTACAATACTGTCTGTAGAGATATTTGACATCCTTAAAATATTAAAGTTGCAGACATAAAAAAAATAATCAAAAAGGTTCCAAACAAAATGATGAGGTACCCAACTAAAAACATTTCTCTTATCACTACTCTTTACCTTCTACATTTACATACACATTCAGCATATACTAAGCCAATTTCTCTGCTCTTCTTGTGCAGTTCCATAGTAGTTAATATATTCTAGTGAGGAATCTAATTAATAGAAGTTGCCTGAAAGTTAAGTAATCAATATCAGTTGGTGTGCCTTCATTTTAAACAAAAAGGAATCTGTAAAAACAGTCGCATGATTTAGTAAGAAAACAATTACTAAGATAATGCATAGAATTGTTAATTAAATGCCATTTTTCCAATGCTTTTATTAATGGCTTCTGATGTTCACTACCAATGTTGTGGTGACCAAGAAGTTAAACAAGCAATTATAAATAAGAAGGAATCTCCTTGGAATTGAATTTAAGCTGTATACAAGATTTAAAAGAACATTTCAGCAAGTTTGATTGAACAAATAAAAGCATCCTTAGCTTTGTTAAAGTTTTTCCTGTTTATGGATAAGCTAAATGTACTGAGTCTGTTCCCTGTCATAATTATCTTGGAGTTTTTTGATGATTGCTATCCTCAAATCAAGGAAATGTTTTTTTCTTTTTCAATATCTAGACTCTGATTTGAATGAGCAAGCCAAAAGTATGACTTTTATACGGTAATATAATGCTCAAAACTGGTGTAATCTATGCATTGAAAATAAGAATTCGTCTTAGTTGAATGACATCATGCATATTTCTTCCAAAAAAAAGTTAATTACAGAATAATAATAAAACTTTCAATGCTTAAAATAATTTATTTGTAGGTGTGAACCATCTAAGCATGTAAAATGTATGTGAATAATGGATCTGGATAACTGTAAAAACTAATTTTGTTTATTTGGGAATCTTCACTACTTAGTCTGGACTTTATAAGCTCTTGTATATCAGAGTTAACAATTCTTTCATCCAGAAAAATAATGCATACAGGATAGTTGTGGTCAGTCCTTTTGACTTAAGGACTAATGTATTGCACTTCAATAAACTATCTGAGGTAACAGGTGTAAAACGTTTTTTTTTTTAAACAAGAATTACTTTCTTTAGTAAAGAAGCAAGTTTGGATTAGGTAATGGACAAGATGCTCATTGGTATTTCTGGTAAGCTAATTGTTTTCAGGTTTCTCTTTAATATTCTAAAAAAAATCAGCTTAATAGATGTTTTCTGTTTTAAAAAATGTTGATAGGTACACTTATTGTTTAACTTTTTCTCTACAGATTGTTTTGTTAGTGGTGAATGTGGCTGGATTAAAACTTTGTGCATATGTTTAATATTATCTGTTTAGTTTACATGTACTGAGCTGTGAACTACAGGCATTGCAGGATTATAGCTTATTAAGTAAATATGAAATGAATGGTTGCATAAGTTATTGTATATGAAATGATTTAAAAAATGGCCTATAAACTTTATATTGTAGAATAGTTCTGTGGTTGATTTTGATTACTTTTTCTTTACTGAAGTTGCTTAATTTAAACTAAGAATATTTTGTTAAAACAGAGTTTAACATAAGTTTATGGAAGCTAGATTTAATTGTGTGTTTTTTCAGACACAGAAAATTGATTTGTAAGAATTTAAAGTAAGAACAGAATCTTTAATTATAAGTAAAAGTGCATGTATTTAAGGTAAAACTATGAATTAATTAGAAATGTTTCTTATGTAACAGTTGTCATAATTTTAAAGTCCATGTATATAAATTAATATTTGATAATTCATTTAATTTAAAGATGGAAATTAATTTATCTTAAGTTTAAATTTATTTCTTTTATGTTGTTTGATCTGTTTATACAAACTAAAATTAATCTCGCTGTGAAAATAAAAAAGTTGAATATTTAGTTCAAACAACTATCTTTGTTTTCTCTTAGGTTATGTATAAGAGATACTTGTACAAGTGTGACTGTCCTACATTGAAGTAATTAAGTAATATTTGTTTTATAAATTATCTATTTCCTCTGAAATCCCTTATAATTATTAAATGCACTGTTATTCATACGTCTGTTATTCATTAATCAGTTCATGGATATTTTAGATTGGTATCAGCTTTTTACATCAAAAATGTGCACATGTACTATAGGCAAGCACTGAACTGCTATTATTATTTTCTTTGTATAAAACTCACTGCGTTTCCATTGGAGTACTGGTTTTAGTTTTGTTTTCCTTTCTGTGCAAGTACTTCTGTGGAAGAAGATAAAGTAGGAAACTAAAGTAATTCTTCCATTTGACAACACAAGACTTGGTGTTAGAAGACGCAAGTTTTATTATAATGCATGTGATCAGCTTGAGTCTGTTCAGGATATTTAATAAATGGCATCTTAGCTCTGTAACATAGGATTTGGCTGTTGGTTTTTAATAATGAAAATGTTATTTGTGAAAAGCGATACAGGCATGACATCTGACAAAAGTATTTTTTTCAATTATTCAGAGGATGGTTTACTAATAGATGCTGTATTTCCATGAATGATTGTAAAACAGATGTACATGTTTTAACATATGGATTAGTGACATTTCAATAAACACAATAGCCTTGGTTAAGAAGATCACTTAGAATTTCGAGGGCACCATCAAATCCTCCAAAACACACACAAAATTTGCTTGTATATTTATCATTTTATATTTTGTTATGGAGCAGTAGTATGTATGTATGTTTCATTGTACTGCATTTAAAATAGAATTATATATATTAGACATCATATTCTCTTTCAAAAGCCATGTCTATTGAAACAAATATACCTGGATTTTACCAACTAAATTGTGATGATACTATTTCTAGCATGATATAGAAAGGAAAGACCCGAGGGGACGTACACCTCTTATGCTTGCTGTTACTTTGGGGCATCTGGAGTCAGCAAGAATTATGTTGAGACACAATGCTGATCTCAGTGTAACAGACAGAGATGGTTTTACAGGTAAAATTGTTCTAACTTGTGAAAATTTCAAGAAATATCAGTGCTTATCTTAACTATATTTTTACTTTTTTTTGTTGAATAACTGCCTTGAAAGCTGAGTTATGTTGACAGGCTTTATGTCATTCTCAAAATATATATGTGTACATATAACAATAAAAATAATATGCTGTTTTTGAGAAAGAGGAATAGTTAAGTAATATACTTATAAAAATAGTCTCTGATAGTTGTTTTTTCCTGCTGATGGGCCAGAAAAAGTTGATTGAGAGATCCTTACCCACAGAAGCAAGTGATTGCAATAAAAATCAAGTCAAGTTTAAACTTTGTTAATTGTACTAACAATGCAAATTTAGATACAATGAGTGATACTGTGTGTGATAATATTTACAATATTTTGAGTTTCTTTTTCTAACCACGTTAAACTATCTAAAATACTAGAAATAAGTGAAATCCAGTATGATCAGTAACTTCTCTGGTTTTATAAGTTTAGTTGAGGTAAGTTTTTTAATCCGACCACAAAGAGAAATAAGTGTAAGTAGTTCCTCAAATATTTAAAGAAAAACCTAAATGTTAATTTAAGCTTGCAGTAATAACACAAGTTATGAATTGAAAAATTTGATGTAATGTTAAAAAATTCTAAACTTAAATCCTTACAACATTTTACGAAAGGACTAATATTGATCACTAATATACACTCTCTGTTATTGAATTCTGTTGTTGTAATAGTTATTCATGAAGCTGTAAGTACAGGAAATCCAGAACTTGTGCAGGAAGTTCTAGAGCAGCGAGACTTCCAGCGGTACTGTAGCAGGGTAGTGGGAATCCCCCAGTTACTGAAACAGATTCAGAATGTAAGTATTTTTACTTTCATATTCTCTGAACTTAACTTGTGTTTCATATTAAGTGAATAATTTGTTTTTAAATTTTGACTATGTATAATTCCACATTGTGTGTGTGAATATAGGTAATTCTCATGTCATTGAACTTGGATATACTATATTAAAGGCACTGACAGAGTAACTTTTTTTTTTGGAATGACCATAATAATGCATTTATTGTAATCATTTTCTTAATTACTGCAAAATTTGTGTGGTAAAAATTTTGAAAGTGTTATCAGGTAGGTGGTAGCACTGTCTATGTAGGGATGGCTCAGATTGTTCATTGATTTGGTATTTTAAATATCTTCTCAATAAGTCATCAGAAC